TTATCGACGCTCGGGGCAGCGGCCCGTCACGGCGCGGGAGGAAGACGATGAGCTGCCCGACTCCATCGACGACCGGGAGATCTTCGATATCCTGCGCGGGGGGAGGCCGGGGCAGGCCCCGGAGTGGGGCGGGGGCCAGGCCACAGCTCATCACGCTCCATCATTTTGCTTCCTGCGCCCCTGGGCTGGGGCAGCCCCTGCAGCTTCCTTCCCTTCTGGGGGAGAACGTGGCCTTTCTTCTCTCTCGGGTTCTGGGTGCCTGGTAACAGCTGCTGTGCGGCCCCTGGCGAGCGCCTGCGGACAGCCCCGCACTTAGCAGCGCTGGGCTCCGCTCCTGACAGGGCCGCTGCCTGCCTGCCTGGTTCTTTAAACCGCCCTGATGCGGTGATGCGACTCTCAGACCAGCGCCCTTCTCTCTCACCCCCTCCGCCGGGGGAACGATTGTGCGGGCAGGGCAGTGGTTTGGTAGGGGTGGGGGGGTTTCTTTGCGCATGTACGTGAGCAGGTTTGTCATTTAGGGCATGGCAAAGCTCCAGGCCCTTTTGTGGCACCGTGTAAGGGCTCTGAAGCCTAAACAACGAGATGAGTCTTCTGGAACACAAAAAAATTTAAACAATGAATCCCAAAAGTTGTTATAGGTTTCCAGAAGGATTTAGGTCTCCTCGTGCTTGCCTCGTGGATAACAAAGGGATAGCAGTGGTTAGAAAAGAGAAATCTAATGTGTTGTGGAGAAGGGGGTGAAATCATCATCCATTCCCATGTCCCTTTACGTTGGTACTGTTTGTTTACTGCTTTGTTTTCCTTTACGTTATACATCTTATTCGTTCAATTAATGATCCAGAACATCCCCTTACTTTGGAAGAGCTGAATGTTGTTGAACAAGTTAGAGTTAAAGTAAGTTACTTTAGTAACAACTATCCGAGGGGTAACCGTGTTAGTCTGACTCTGCAAAAGCGGCAGGGAGTCCTGTGGCACCTTATAGTCTAACAGAAGTGTTGGAGCATAAGCTTACGTGGGCAAAGTCCCCTGATTGTGAAGTGGGTCTTTGCCCATGAAAGCTTATGCTCCAACACTTCTGTTACTCTATTAGGTGCCACAGGACTCCTCGCTGCTTTTAGTAACAACATTATACAAGAGAGGAATTAATAATTGACATCCTAACCACATTATGTCTCTGCACTGTATGCTTAGACACAAAGGCTGCATCTAGACTGGCATGATTTTGCGGAAATACTTAACGGAAAAGTTTTTCTATTATAAGTATTTCTACAAAAGAGCGTCTAGATTGGCAAGTGCCTTTACGCAAAAGCATCTGTGCCCAGTGTAGATGCGGTTTTGCGCAAGAAAGCTCCGGCGGCCATTTTCGCCATTAGGGCTTTCTTACGCAAAAAATTCCTGTCCCTGTCTACACTGGCCCTCTTGCGCAAGAACACTGACAATCTTACATTAGATCGTCAGTGTTCTTGCGCAAATTCTCGCGGCCAGTTTAGACAGTCTAGACGCACCCAAAATGTATAACTGTCTCAGCAAACATACATAGGAAAAGCAATATAGAGACATTTTAAAACTGGAGTAAAAAATTCCAATAAAGGTCTAATTCCTGTGATGGTAGGGTGACTCAAACAGAAAAGGAAAAGTTGGGGCTTTAATTTTCAACAAATAAAATCGCATCAATCTTTTATGTAATACAAATATTATTTATACAAACTAAAAGTTATTACATTGCCATGGAACATCTATAGGATTATTTCCTGCTTATACTTTGGCAGTTTTGTATATTGGGGCAGATTCTGCCCTCAGTTTTGATTATCTTACCCCTGATTGTGGCCAGATTGCAAAGGTTTTACAGAACAGTGTCTGGTCTATTGTCTACTTAATTTTTCATACATTTTTGGTAAGAAAGGAGAATACTTAGAGTTGTCATTAATACAATAGTTAAAACACTACATTTGAGAATAGTGGTATGGTAGATAAAATAACAAGCAGGGAAGTAGGAGGGGCTAAGGATTATTACGTTGAAATGCAAATAAAATTACTAATATTGACTTGTGAGTTATGGAAAATGTTTGTTTTTCAAACAGGTGAATGATGCTGAAAGCACAGTAATGGTGGAGTTTACTCCCACAATTCCTCACTGCAGCATGGCAACATTAATTGGTCTGTCAATAAAAGTAAAGTTAATCAGATCACTACCTGAAAGGTTTAAGGTGAGTAATAAAATCAGCCCAAATGGAGAAGAGCGAAAGTGTTTTAGAGAAAAATCTTTAGTGAAAGATAACTAGGGCTTTTCTTTGCCTCTCCTGCTCTGAGCAAAGTATATGCTTAGTGGGGAAAAAATCGAAACAAATGTATAATTAGTAATCACTGCAGGCTCAAGGCAAACAGTCAATTGGATTTGTAAGTGAAAAAATAACACCACTTCAAAATTAACTGAGGCTCCGTGGAAGATTCTCATTTTTACATATGGGGAACCTGACACTACAGAAAAAAGTTAAATGCCGTGCTCCAGTCCACATGGGAAGTCAGTGACAAAGAATTAGAATTCAAGGGTTTCTGACTAATGATTCTGGGTTCAGACCACTTCATTAGGCATCTGTCCCAAAGCAAACTGATTCTGATAATTTCAAACCAAAACAACAAGCAAAGTGACTGGCCCAAGAAAAAATTCCTTTCTGTATAAATATTTTCATGTTTTAATAAGGAAATTGTTCAAAATTCCAGAGTTGATTAATCAAAATGTTAAATCTCCTTCAAGGGATAGTGTAAACATGTTATTTTAAAAATAGATTCACATTGGAAAAAAATCCCTAGGCTGATAGAACATCCTTCAAACAGTATGCCCAGAATTTTAATAAATGCATTAAAAAATCTGAAAGATTTGTATCTGTTTTCCTGTTAATTAGCTATAATCTTTTCAGGAAGGGAGGAACTTACTAAGAGAGTGGGAGGGAGCTCTGAAATTGACAAAGTGCAGTCAAGTGCACAAATTAAACAGCTTTTTTTTTTTTACTCAACTTTGTTTTTTAACAAGGTGTTGCTTGTAATTATGGGAGGTCCTGACATTTCAGGTATGAGTTTGAAGATGATAAAGACTTGAAATTTATTTTTTGTAAGCGAATGTTACATTTTGCTTTCTGAGCAGCTGATTAAGTGTTCCTTACATCTTTTTATAGCTTTTGTCCAACAAATGTATAAAGATTTCAAGAGTGAAGTCAAAATGAACACTGACTTATTATAGTTTAATCAGTTTTATAAATATAGGATGAACCTCCTAAATCTGGAGCTCTCTGGTCCGGCAACATCTGTGGTCCGGCAGATACTGTGGGACCAGAGAGCCCTGGTACCCGGGAGTGCAGGCTGGTTGGGACTCCAGCAGCAGGGAACCTCACCATTGGGACCGGTGAGCCCCCAGTAGGTGGGGCAACAGTGGGACCAGTGAGCACTATCCCCAAGAAACCCTGGTTGGGAGCAGCAGCAGCAGGGCAGCTGCCAAGCCCCATCCCAGTGTGGCAACAGCAGGACAGCCACAGAACCCCATCCCCGGCCAGTACCTGCCGGGCACAGCAGCAGTAGGGTCACCAGCAGTTGGTGATCGCTGTCCCCAGAAGCGACGAGGAGTCCTGTGGCACCTTATAGACTAACTGAAGTGTAGGAGCATAAGCTTTCGTGGGCAAAGACCCACTTCGTCAGATGCTGTCCCCAGGAAGCCCCAACTGTGCAGAACAGAAGTGGGGCCATGGCAGCTGGGGAGCTCCGTCCCTGGAAAGTTCCAGCTGGTTGATGGCAGCCAGCTGGTTGATGGCAGCCAGCTGGAGCCAAGGCCAAGCCCTGGAGCAGCAAGTCTGGAGCCCAGTAGCAGTCGGGCTGGAGCAGTGCCAGCCAAAGGGAGGAGCAGTGTCCTGGGAGGCTAGTGGCTGGGGACCTCTCTGATCCAGCAAATTCCCTCATTTGGGAAAGATCAGGCTCCCAGGGTGCCAGACCAGGGAGGTCCAACCTGTAACTTGATTACAAATAAGGATTTTATTTTTTAGGTGGATGTTCACATAACACCAGGAACCCATGCCTCTGAGCATGCAGGTGAGCTTTTCTTAAGGCCAAGAGGTGTGATGAGGTGCTAATAATATTAAATAATTATAATCTAATAAATGTTGGCATTGAAAGGTAGAATAGATGTCATCAAATGCACTGATCTGTAAGTGTAGCATAGGAAGGGAATTGAAAGTTGGAGGATGCTGTACATTCTTAGTTTCCCCCCCTTCATAGCAAACAGCTAAACTTAGGAAAATCTATCACCAAATCCAACAATGGATAAGCATGGTAGTTGAATAAGTGCTAAAATACAGAGCAGTAAGATAGTAAGTTTGGGTCCTGATCCCACAACTTGTTCCTGGCTCATGGGGCCCCTGCTTTCACACAGGCGCCAATAAAATATTAGGGACTTTGCATCACCATTCCTAATAATCTTTTCCATCCATGTGCAGAATAATTGTATATGTACCAAGGCATGTGCGAATGTGCACCACTAATAGAAACAAAACCTAGTTCTGAATTCTGTGCTTATCAGCTGGGTGGCATTTAAATTAGGGATGATAAGGACTAGTCGATTTCCTCCCCCCCTTGCTGCTTCTATCAGAGGCAGCAAAGGGAGAGGGAAGGCGGGTACTTCAGAGTGTCAGCGCCACACAGTTGAGCCTGGGATCAGCTGCGCAGCACTGCTGCTTTGAAATGCCAAGGTGGCATTCAAAGGGTTAGCACCACACAGCTGATCGCTGGCTCACCTGTGCAATGCTGTGTCTTTGAAACGCCGCCTTGGCGTTTGAAAGGGACAGCACCCCAAGATCAGCTGTGCGGCTGCCCCTTTAAAATGCTGAGGCGGCGTTTAAAGGGACAGCGCTGCACAACTGATCCCTGATCCAGCTGTGCTGTCCCTTTGGAATGCTGCCTCGGCATTTGAAAGGGATAGCGCCGCAGGATCAGCTGTGTGGTTGCCCCTTTGAAGTGCTTAGGTGGCATTCAAAGGGGCAGGGCTGCACAGCTGAGCCTAGGATCAGCCTGGGACTCCTCAGCTGACCCTGGGTTCTGGGAAAATGCCACATGGAACCCACAGTCAGCTGGGGACTCCAGGGTCCACGTGGCATTTCAAATTGGCAGCGCATCATGGAGCCCGGGGTCACTGGGGGACTGAGTCCCTTGCTGACCCCAGGCTCCATGCTGCGCTTCCGCTTTGAAATGCACAAGAGCCCCCGGTGGGGACTGTTCTACATTTCAAAGCTGACACACCCCAGTGCAGCCCAGCATCAGCGGGACTTGCCTGTGGCCCCGGGCTACGTGCGGAGTTCCGCATTCCTCCTTTGAAGTGTACAAGAGCCCCAGCGGTGGCTCTTGTGCATTTCAGGGGAGGAATGCGGAAGTGCCTATCAACTAGTCCAGTAGTCGATGGAATTTCCCATCGACTGCTTGCCTAGTAAAATAACTGATAGTTAACATCCCTAATTTGAATTTGACTGGCCACACAAGCACACAGCTTACAGGGAACACTTCTACCTGCCATTGGGTACAGCCATCTGTAACAATTTGCAGTACTGTGCTTTAAGTAATTACTTTACTTAGTACAGCACAATTCTGCAGCACCCTTGGTAACTACAGAATTAAGAAAAACATGGGGCTCTGTCTGCCATAAAAATAACCAACTTGTATGTAAAATGTTATGCATCACTAAAGAAATGTGTACTGACTAATCTATTATGGGATTCTTTTTACACAGTTAATAAACAACTTGCTGACAAAGAAAGAGTAGCAGCTGCTTTGGAGAATTCACATTTGCTGGAAGTGGTGAACCAGTGTTTGTCTGCACGATCATAGTTGCCTGATGAAGAAAAGATTTTCTGATGTGTTAAGCTAATTTTGTACATAAATAGTGTTTCTAGTATTTAGTTGTATATGTTTCTGTGGGCAAATAAAGCTACTAAAATTTAGATTTTTAAAAAATGACTGCTCTACTATTACAAGAGTTAATGTGCAAATTAATTTACAGGTAATGGTTTATTTAAGATACTAATAAATGACAATTTTATTTTGTCAGCAGGGAATTTAACATGTATAATTTTTAATTCAGCACCTGCAAAAGAGTACTCCTTAGAAGAAACTCCTGTCTTAAAATAAAGATTTGATTTGAACTGACTTTGCCAGTCATCACCATCCTAAACAAAATACTATAAATGGTCTTATTGTTTATATATGCACATTAGGCAAGGAATATGTTAATCTTTAAATTAAGATCAGTTAATACACATGCTCTCCAGGAGAATAAGGGGTTTTTGCGCAAAAAGGAAACATCCACACTACTTGTTTTTGCACAAAAACGGCTTGAATAGATTAGCATTTTGTCATGTTTCATTTGCATAATCGATGCTTCATTTGCATGTTCTCTGCCAGCAAAAGCCAGTAGTGTAGACATAGCCTCAGGTTGACATAGCCTCATTGATGTTGCGTCTGCGTTCTCCCAGCGCTAAAGTGCTCCCAGCGCTGAAGTGATTAGGGCTATGTCTACTCGCGGCTTCTTGCACGAGTAATATGCAAATGAGGCTAAGCGTGGACTATCACAGAGCCTCATTTGCATACCTAATGAGCCACCATTTTTTTCAGAAGAGGCTTTTGCGCAAAAAGGAGCATCTACACTGCCCCTTCTTGAGCAAGAAAAACCCTCTTGCGCAATGCTGTTACACCTATTACTTTTCAGGAAGAATGCATTGCGCAAGAGGGTTTTTCTTGTGCAAGAAAGGGCAGTGTAGACGCTCCTTCTTGTGCATGAGCCTCTTCTGAAAAAAATGGTGGCTCATTAGGTATGCAAATGAGGCTCTGTGATAGTCCACGCTTAGCCTCATTTGCATATTACTCGTGCAAGAAGCCGCGAGTAGACATAGCCCTAATCACTTCAGCGCTGGGAGAATGCAGACGCAACATCAAGGAAACCAACCCCCAGATGGGATCAGAACCCCAAATAAGTCCATCTTTCACTGTGTGTTTCACATGTTGAAAGCTCATTCAGCCCCCTTTAACAATGAAAGGAGAATGTGCACAGATTGCCCAGCCCTGAGTCCCCTCCCACACTCCAAACCCCATGGCACAAACCCGATCTCCTCCTGTATCTCAAATTCCTCATTCCTGGTCCCACATCAGGGCATGCACCATCAGCTCTAGTGTGGGGCAGGAATGAGACCTTACCCACTCCCACACTCCAATTTGGAGCCCCTTCCCTCACCCTGAACCCCTCATTTCTTGCCGTGCCTCAGAACATGCACCCCCAGCCACTGTCCTCATAACCTCCTGTACAAGCTGCTACCCCAGTTGGTGAAAGTAAGCATGGGGAATATGTGTGAAGGAGAGACCGGGGTAGAGTGAGGGGGGCAGTGGGGGTAGGGAATTGGAGATGAGGTAAAACAGGAGCAGGAGTGGGGAAAAGGTGTTTGGTTTTGTGCAATTAGAAAGTTGGCAACCCTACATAGTAATGTGAACTAAACCATCATACAGTAAAACTCCATGGCTACGTCTACACTGGCCCCTTTTCCGGAAGGGGCATGTAAATTTCACCAGTCGTCGTAGGGAAATCCGCGGGGGATTTAAATATCCCCCGCGGCATTTAAATAAAAATGTCCGCCGCTTTTTTCCGGCTTTTAAAAAAGCCGGAAAAGAGCGTCTAGACTGGCCCCGATCCTCCGGAAAAAGTGCCCTTTTCCGGAGGCTCTTATTCCTACTTCCTTCAAAGTAGGAAT